CGAGTTCAAGTTCGCTCAACCAACTTCAGGTTTCTAGGCGGTGTCACTTTGATTCCCTAGTAGTTACGTAGACCCTCAACAATTATTCCTAGTTTGCAATGGCGCGAAGGAAGAAACACGTCTGTGTGTCTATTTCTGTCTCTAATTTTTTTTCCCCTGATGACGCATTCACTACGTACGGCTTGGCCTTTCCCCCCTCACCCCGCTGGAAGGTTGCTTGTGCATTCGAGGCTCAAGCTTAGCGTACAGATGATAGAAGATGTGGCGTTTTTTCCGTTGTCACTGACTACTCATGCTTGCTAAATCCTCATAGATAGTCAGGTTATCCCAAAAGAAGTCCCAATGCTACATGTACAACTACATAGGCGATGCATCTGACTTGGGGTGTTTAACATTATCCGAATACCTAATAGGCCAAGCTCGTTCCGTTCCGGACAAGGATAGATACTATTAAAGCCATGAGGTCCTAAGTACTGCCGTACTACCTACCTGCTGTCTTCATTACTACGCAGCTACGGTTCTTAATAGAGTGGATAGCATGCCAAAAAAAGGACATTAATGTTGCACAACATCAAAAGTTGAAAACATAAAAAAAGAAAAGAAAAAAGAAAGATAACGATTCGTCTCGATCACTAAACCTGTAACATCTCAGGCTGCCAGTAAAACCTCACTAGGTAGGTTAGGTTAGGTACCCAAGTACACCGTCCCCCCGGATCCACATCATCCAATCAGAAGGTGCATGAGAAGCCCAAAATGGGTTGTGCTGTGCAGACGAGTTAGTGCATGCGGTTTAGTGCAATACTCTAACCTAGTGTACATACTTTAGCTCGTTCACTTACACAGCTACTAATGTTCTTGACGATGCAAACACACATGTAGGTTATCAAGGGTATCACGTCCAATATGTAAGCAACAACTGACAACCATCAACAGTCAAATCCCCTCCTCGGTGAGGCACAGGTGAATAATGCCCAAAGAACTCCCCTTCCCCCCTCCGAATATCCAATTATTTGTATACGTGTTACGGTTGATTTGCAAAATGGCTTCTTATATGTGGACTGTGGACTACCTAGGACTAGACTGGCTGGACGACTCGGACTGAGCTAAACGACTGCCCACCGGCCACGTATGAGTCGGCAACCAGGTATCTGATGTTATCTTATCCCATGAGCTGCGAAGTCCACGTTGCCATACCCCAGCTACATATACATATGTAGTGTACACACACTAGCTCGTGGTCATGGTACCCGTAATCGAGTGGGCACGTCTCCTATTGCATACTTTAGCTTGCGGTTGAGCCAATACACATACTCCATTCAGGGACCATACACCATTTATATATAAACATGCCCCGGGTGGACTCCATCCGAGAGGTTGGCCATGGAGATGCTAAAGACAAGAGATCCACACCTATTCGCTACAAGAAGAAATGTAGTTGTAGGTTACAGCATTATCAGAGTTGTTCCGACACAGTATTATCCATTTTCATTCATATCTTGGAGGCCGTCGCGCCGCTGCTTTTGCTGATCTTGAACCCCAATCGTGGAGAATGGACCCTGACGCTGCCAAACTTGCCCTGAGTCTCGATGACATACTCGGTCTTATTCATAGCCACAAGCATTCCTTCGTCCTTGTTTAAAAAACCATAATCAGTCGGCCAAAGCCGCACATTTTGTCCCTTCTCGAACCCCTCGGCTACTACGACGGGATCTGCACCGTCAACTTGTGCCTCTGGCTCTGCGAACGAGGACCGCACAATCAACTCTGCCGCCTGGTCACCTCCGAGCGTCTTCACTTTGCCCATCTCCTTGGTTTTTTCTTTCATAAAGGCGTCGAACCTCTCAATCCAGGCGAACACCTTGGGGAATGCATCCTTGCCGATGACCTCGGGGGACAGTGCTCCGGGGATGTTGTGTAGCCAGTGCCAGAGCCACACGGCTTCTATATCCACGAGGGATGGGCCTTTCGTCGTGCGTCCGCCGGATTCCAACTCCACGGAGGATATCCACTCCCGCCCGTCCACAAGCAACGTTTCCTCTAGGAAGGCTATCACCTCGCGGGCTTCCACGAGCGCCTCTGGACGCGCTTTATGGATGTTAGCCGGTGCCAAGGGCGCCGATGCGAGTGCATCCGTCCCAGTCGACTTGATCTCGATCCCCACGAGCGCAGCTCGGTCGCGAACAAACGCAGGGTCCGATAGGACAGCCGCCGGGAGTAGCCGCGCGGCATGCATAAACACGGACATGGTGCGATGCAAAAGAAGACGGGCCAGCGCGCGGTCCTGGTTAGGGTTTACGCTGCTATAGAGGCTGGGGTGTGCTGCACTTGGTGGATATAGCTGCTCCAGCTTGTTGAGAATCAACCGCGTGTCTAGGTAGACGTCTCGCCCAATCGACATCAGAGGGATGCGCCGGTAAGCGATGCCGAGAGCAGCAACGTCGGGGCGGGGCAGCACGTGCGGTTGGAGCTATCAGGGTGGTAGGTGAGCATTTAAACGGGTAGAGTATGTCTTCGTCAGACTCGACGACTTACGCATTGTGAGAAGGGGATTTTTCGTAGCGTCAGATACCAGATCACTCGCTTCGCGTAGGGCGATGCGTGATAATGATATACCACGATTGGTAAGTCTTGAACTGAAGTCGCCATTGTATGGTTATATAGCTTGCCGCAGATGCTTCGTGTTTTACATGGGTTGTGGAGGAGGCTGTTTGGTTGAGGTTATAGATGAAGAGTATCCCACTTCCTCCCCTAACTACGATGCAGCGGACAAGCTACCTTTAGATCTAATAGGTTGCTAAGCCAGCCACGGCAGCACGTCTTGGCGTGTCGCATTTACCTAGGCAGCTAGGGACAAGCGATCGTTCGGATCTTAATTAGATTGAATGCGGTAAGGCGTGTGCGAAAACAACCGAGGCTGCGTATCGTGTTTTATATTCAACGACCCCAGAACAAAGTTGCTTCAAACTATATACATTACCTAATAGGTTGTATTTATCTACCTACCTCGGGTGAGGGGGGTGATTATTATTATATAAACTATTCTTCAACTTTACTCCGGGCTTGCCTTTGTTAACGTCCGTTGCCGGTCATTGAAGGTTATTTCGGAAGGATTACTACGGAAGTTCCTCCGTTCGCCATGCCCACTCATAAGCATAACCCAGGTAAACTCACTTAACCATAACGGACTTCCCTATCCCGACTTACACCCGGTTTATTGTGAACGGAGGGACTAAAAGTCGGTACTACGGACATAAAGGAATTCTAAGGAGGATTCTAGGCAGACCCCTCGGAAAAGGGATAAGGATTATGCGATTCCGTAGCATAGGATGGTCGTAGTAGCAGTTGTAGTAGCAGTGTAGTAGTGTACAGTAAGAACCGGGGTATATTATGTAGTTGCGGATGCTAGTGCGGGACGGGGAAAGGAGAAGGGAGAAAGGAGGGTATGATGGGAGAGGGGAGGGGAGGTAGGCAGCGGAGATAGGAGAGGACCAAAGGATAGGAGGGGAACCTCGAAACTACTATGTAGATCTCTGGTTGTAGCTGAATACCTATCAACCTATCAACCCAGGGTACGTTATGATTAGTCATAGTATAGGATCACCTCGCTCCCACTACGCCGGCTCGGATAACATCGTCGTCCGTTATGGAGTCTCTAAGCTGGATAATGCATAATGTCCCATCTCATGAGCACTGCCGTCGTATAGTGGTGATGATGGGTAGACAGGTGGCTTATAGACTGGCGTGTGGTTCCAAACGTACTATAAGCGACCCCGAAGCTATAAATTCGTCCGATTAAACAGTCTAACACAACCCCCTTTACTGAAGATAACCATGGGTAGGTCATTGGAATCACTAAAATATCATTATAACCCCCTTTCGTTATGTCAGGCAATCAACTCCCCAAGCCTGTTTATCCCTTTTATACACTAGTTGATTTGATCGTATAACATGAAACTCCCGCAGGCCTTTGGTTGCTAGAAGCCTCCCAACTTTGTATGCTATCAACAACGTTCCTCAACGCCTTTTTGGGGTGAAAAGTCTATAGGGCTTATGGAAATCAGGATCCTAGCTGGCACTTTATAATAATAACGGGCAATGCCAGTTTCTCTGCTCCTCTCCCCTATTCCTTCTGTGCCCTTCTCTAGAAATAATATAATAGTTTGCTTGCTTGGAATTATTAATGGGATTTTTTTTAAGATTATAAGACATTAGAACTTAATAGGAACTAGTTAAATAGGATTTCATTCTCACTGTAATGAGCAACCCCTTATGAGAGCTGTCCTGGGTGCTATGACTGCTAGTCATTATAAAGCAATAGGTCCAAATAATGAGGATTGGAAAAAACAAGTCCATCATATAAATATCTTATTATATATTGGTGTGCCATTCAGAATTGAGAAGCTATATATGGGTTTGTTGTTACTCAAACAACAATTTTCTTCTATTGTTGACCCCTCCCTATGGTCAATATACTCCCTACATTCCTTGAGTCACATAAAGCTAGCCTCACTTAACTCGTCATATCTACTTAGGTAGGCTCAGAGCTTTTATCTCGCACTTGAGGCGGTGTACAGCCTCAGGTAGTAGTAAATCCTACATAAATATGGATAATAACATGGCTCAAGACTTATGTCCTAATCTACATATTTTTTGTTATACTTTATCATGTTATCGAGTAGATATATGCGAATACAGCCTAGCATGGTGTACCGAATATGGACCACATATTAAGTCCGTACTTGCTGAATACATCAACGACTTAACTTTAGAGGCGTCTTAAGAAGAACTATACCTCGAAGCTTAACATTAAGCACATAAGTACCAATGGACCCGTACATGGCTGGTAAGGTTCATGCTATTCCACACATAACAAAACCATACCACAGTAGCCATCAAAGTACCATGACCTAAGGCATCCACCTAGCAAAGATGAGCAGTCTTTATGTACATGATTAAGACCGTTCTCATTAAACTTAACCCTTACGCTCCGGATATAAATTTACGAATTGGTGTAGTGGTCAACATCTGACGGTCTCGTCCTAGATGATCCGTCAAGCCCGGGGTTCGATTCCTCGATTCGTAGTCTCTCTCCCTCAATTTTTTTCTTCTGATTTCTTTTAGATTTTTATCCCATCTATGAGTCGGGGTTCTTTATGCCTAAATTTATCAATGGTCTAGCTCAAGGCTAGGTTTTGTGTAATTAATATGTTGCTATTTAAGAAATTTGAATCAAAGATTGTTCAAGTAAGATAGTATCGCTATGTGAACTAAATTTTTATACTCATCAAAAGCACACCATCTCCCATCGTCCCCTTTAAACCCCAGGGACAATTATTGTTGTATTTTAGAAAGTATTACCTACTTACTAAGCAACTAAAGTTTTTTTTGGGATGCAAACAATATATATATGTATATAGTGTTACGCAGTTGTAATGTGGTCTTCGCGAGCAGCAACAGCTTACTGGTGGCTTACGCCCTACCATATCTCCTATTGTGACCTTATTCACTTCCCCTGAGAGAACATATAATTGCTCGAGCCGATCACATAGACTGAGTTATAAGCGGCTTCAAAGTATTGTTCAGTTTATTAGTCCGCACACTTGTCTTTATCTTGCTTGTGCTCGTCAAAATTATGCTAGCAGAGGCAGATATCGATCAGTTCATCACACTTCTGAAAGGGGTTTTACGATAAGGTCATATAAATGATACTGTGGCTAGATTTTACCATGCCACCTTCTCCCCCCTTCTCCCCCATTCACTCCTGATTATATATACTTGTAGCCACCACACAACACAAGACAGCACCCCGAACGGTATTAGCTTTATTCATCTTAGATCCTCCCATCAACCTATCTAGACGCGTACCTATTTGTTACGTACGAGCCATGCAGCCAAGAAAAAATCCTGCAACCTTAGACTTCGACAGTACGCAAGGAAGAGAAAAAGAAACATCTGTGCGCAAAACCCGTTGCATAGCCGATTCCAAGCTACCAAAAAAGGAGTGAAAAGGCACAAAAAAAACTTGTTAGAGTTGATCTCCCCCGGACAGGCTTGAACTGTCAACCTCCTGATTTAGCTGTTTTTGTAACAGTCAGACGCGCTAGCCAATTGCGCCACGGAGGATGTGGTCGAACTACCCTCTACATAGCAGTTAAGTTTCGTTAGTCCGCAGCTTGCTCGGTTCATGATCCCGGGACCCGCATACATCGCTGCAAGCATGCTAAGTAGTTTGCACAGATATATATATAGAGAGAGATATGTATTATATTTTTAGATTAAAGGGATAGCCTATCTATGACGTCTGAAATGGGTTATAATGTATCGTGATTTCTTGAGAGTGTATGTAGGTAGGTGATCTAAGATATTGATTCTAGCAACACTATTACGTCAAGAGTTTTGGCTTATCCGAAGAACCTCTAGAGATTGCACGAAGTTAGGCTAGTATTTGGCGGCACCTGGCCTAATGATCGTTCGGCCTAGGGAAGCAGCACAGGTAAACACTGCAGTGTATCAAAACTACACCTTGATACCTATCCTATGTCTACGAGCTTTAACAGCTATCGGGGCAGCCGAGCACGATTATAACTGGGCGTTTATTTCTTGGTGATGTGTATAAGAAGCAGCGAGGTATTAGTTACTGACTCATAGCTTTTTTCTATTAACTACCTCCCTAGGTTTAATAACCTCTTCCTCAGAGCAATGAAAATATGAAAGGTAACTGAAGTATAAAGCTAGTAAACCTTTCATTACCCCAAGACCTAAGTAACACTGAATAGAGTGAAAAAGTAGAAGAAGTAGAAGAAGTAGAAGAGGAGGAGGAGGAGGAGGAGGAAGAGGAAGAGGAAGAAAATAATGGTAATAAGCTATCAACGTACAGGTGGGTTGGGATATTTGTTCGTTAACTTTTGCTATTTCATCGTTTCTCTTATCTCCGCCACCTGTCTAAATAGATGAAACCAATTCAATGTAATATAACTTATCACATATGAGGAAGAAACCGAACCCCTGTGATGACTGCCTACCAAAAGCCTTGTAGAGTTCAAATAGATCGAGCACTTTAATTTCGATCAATTAGATCAGGAAGCTTGTTTGCGGGATTTCTTCCGGACCCGGTCACCACATGCGCTTGGGGCACCATCTGACAATGCAAAGCAACATTGTCGATTCTATCGTTGGTACATAGACTGATAGGTCGATTTGCTCCGATCAGGTTTTTGACCAATGAAGTTGTTAGGGGATTGTGTGAGCGTTGGTGAGGTTAGTGAAGCTCGATTTTAGGGCTCATGTCCCGGATGTCGCCGTTACAGGGAATCCTCGGGAGTCATCTTTTTTAGAGACCCGGACCGGGCGGGGGCGGGGGTGCCAGTCTAGTTATAACTTATACGTATGCCGCCTCATCGTCTAGAGGCTCGGGCAATGTACGCCAATAATGTACGCCCGACTTGGCTAGATACCACCCCTGCCCTACCGCGATATTCAAATCTCGCCTAGTATAGTTAGCTACCAAACCTCATTGTCTGTGTATCTCTTTCTTTGAAGCAGTTTCTATCCGCTAGGGTACCCTTTTATTGGAAAAAAAAAAACCCCACTATCGATCGCATCATATATGTCGCGCTGTTTGTGCTGATACGATTATATGCAATTTAGACCTCTAACGTGGCCCGGTTTTTATATGACGTCTACGTGATAAACTGGCGCATTATAGACCACTGGGTTGGGTATAAGTTGATAGACAAGTGCCATGAGTGACTTCATGTTATAAACATGGTCTCGCGAATATGGTTCGCCGTGTGTTTTATGAAATTCCAAATAGGTTTGATATAACATGGCAACTGAAACATCCCGTTTTTGTGGCGAGTTTGCTGCTACTAGCAAGATTTCGTTCTCTTGATAGCTGCATGATGTTTCTTTCGGGTATTTTGACTCGGTAATCGGTGCTGTGTGTAGGAGTCTGGCATGATGCAAGGGGCGTTTCGATCCAGGAGAGTGCATGCGTTCTAGCAGACCAGGCTGACAGACTTTACCCTTCGTAGAATTCTGGGCTGCTTAGATGGGTATGATGGATGGTTCCCAACTAGGTATCGTGGTATCGATGTGCCGGACGTTGAACAACGTCCATCTTGCAGTCGGGGAAAACTTATTTCCTAGGACACTAAACCCATGTAGAGACATGGAGGATGGTCACATACCGCGTTGGCAGCCTGCCTGGGTACCTTTACTGTCGTGCTCAATTTCTATTCTTCAACACCCCAGCCCGCAGCCTTGGGCAGGTTCACCGCAATTTGGGTTTCAGAAAACCACCAATGAAGACCAACTAGTCTTCTCGCGGGATAGATTAAAAAAAATATCGGATGGGTGACTATGACCGAACGCGTATGTACGTTTCGGGATAGGCGCCTGGCAAAATAGCCGTTGATACAAATTAAGCTAAGTGTGTGCCAGGGCCAAGCAGCCATGTTGCTGGATCTGACCTGTCATGGAGAGGTTTGGGGTGGTTTGTTTGAAAGATGGGGGGGTTTTGCGACTTGCATTGAAACTGATCTCTGGCCGGTAATTGCGAGACCCATACTGAGAGACCAAATGCCTAAACATCACACGATAATTACTGACGGTAGCAAAAGCGGTAGTTGTAAGCAGTTGCCGTGTAGCCTGTAGAAGGGAAGGGGAAGGGGAAGGGGGAAAGGGGGAGGAGGGGGGGGGGAGAATGGTGGACAGGATCGATGCTGACCACTATCGTTGAGTAGAACGTGGATGGAACGCAGAATACATGAACAACGAACCCACCACCTCCTATCCAACATGAGGTTTACGAGTTATTAGAAGCCTTGTCACTGTCAGATACCTAAATGGTGCGGCGAATCCTGTAAGGCGTAAGTCAGAGGCGAGGATGAACCCCCGCGCTCCACAGCCCACAACTTACAACCCACGACCCACACTACTTCTCTATCTCGCCGACCTGAGTAGTGGACTTTCATTCTGGCCGAGAGAGTTCGTGGGTAGATGGCTGGGGAAAGCTGGGGGGGCAATACGAAAGCCAACATCAGCTAAACATGTACGATAAAAACCAAACGAGGGTAGGTGATTGGCAACATGATGTAGTAAGCGCTCAGAAAATCAGGTTATTAACTGATGGTGTATGCTGGTGTCTGCTGGTGTCTAGCCTCACTGAAACATAGGAAAGAAGGAGACTCGGTAGAAGAAAAAAATGAAAATGGTTGGTCGGTCAAATTATGTTGGCCTGAATGCCTAGGTAGGTAGTTTACTATGCCTTCATACTCTGTTTGTGTACATAGTAGAGCCTGAAGGACTCATTGACCTCCGTGGTCAGCTTAGGAAGGACTTCAATACGCAGAAACAAGGCTTACTGTGTCTGGATTACCCACGCCTCTATTTTGCGTACTATCTTATTAGTGTAGTAACTGAACTTGCCTGTCAATAGTCATCATGTTAAGGGTTTACGCCGGTTTGCTGTTTCGGTTATTAGGTTCCTATTTCGATAGTATTTAGACTCTGTCGCCGATGTGTTGATCGTGGCACCGGGGAGAGGTTCCCGATCTACATGGGTTATGTATGGTAAAAACAAAAAAGAAAAGTAGATATGAGCAAATGGTAGATGGCAAATGGCAAACGGCAAATGTGTTAAGTGTTGTATATGCGTGATCGTGAAGGAGAAATCGTTGCGTGTACATCGTGTCCACTCAAAAAAGAAAAAAAGAAAAAAGGGGTGGGTAGAAAAGAAAAGGGAACTGAAAAAAAAAAGAAAAAGGAAATAAAATAAAACCCATACCCATACCCATATCCATCCATGTACATAGGGGATTGATAAGGTAAGTAAGTCGGATCGATGAGAGTTTAAAAAAAAATGTTGTGTCATATACGTACAACCTGGTAAAGTGTATGTACATGGATTAGTCTGGTAGGTCAGGTAGCTACATACGTACTTTTTAGTTTAGGTAGGGATCCATGTCCCACACATGGCTTCTATCGCTTCCATTCCACTCTTTCTTTTCATTCTTTTTTTTACCCCACACACAACACCCCACGCCTTACTGCAAGTCCGGCGGCACGGGGAAGACGGGATGGCCCAATCATGATTAGTCCTTCCAAGATTGCTAGCCTTTTCCCTTCCCGGACTACTGGACCCCAAATTTGACCGGCTCGCCCGTAGCTGTAGCTTGGATGTACATACTGTAGCTATATGTAGTGCTAGGTAGGCAGTGTAGCTACCTACATCTAGGCAGTAGCTGTAACTGTACCTCTAACTGTACCTTTAACTGTACCTGTAAGTGCTTTCCCCTTGTCTACCAGTCCACCTCGAACTTTGGAACTTTGGAAGATGGAATCGGGCTGCGATATCCGGCCACGAGTAACCGACCATTTATATTTTCTCTTTGGTTTTCTTTTTTTTTTCTGGCTTCTGTCTTGTTCAGTGTCACTTTTCTTTATTTGATTTTATTTGTTAAAAATGCAATTATTGATATTGATTCGCCCAACGATTTATTGTTTCCTCATTTTCTTCGCCCCCCCATACCTCCTCGGCCTCATAGGTTGCTACTAACTGTCCGACGGCCCCCAAGTACCGGAGAGAAGGTCCCTATGTAAAAGCCGACGGAGCTTATAGCAGACGGATAATTATCCTTTCTAGATCTCATCGTCATTTGCATTCATTTATCCATTCCCTTTCCCAAGTACATGCTTATTTTTCCATTTTCATTCCAGGTACATTGCTTCATGCTTCCTAGGTTAGACATGTGCACTATAATCTATACTAATCGCATCAGCTCTGATATGACACACCCATGATGCCCGTAACAATTACGTGTCTGGGGTGTCTGAAAACGTGATCTGGATCGTCTGCAGGACATTTTCCTCTATTATAGGTCCATCTGCCCGTCTCTCCATCCCATCCCACATCTGCCGAGGTGTTAGCCTCCGACACATGTTTTTAGGTTAGATTCAAGGGAAACCCTTCGAGGCTTGCTTATACTTACACTTGCACTTACACTTACATGTGTTACACGTGTACCGTCACTTGGCCTGCCAACACAGAGTGACCGTATATGTTTTTTTTTTCTTGTCCAGTCCTAGAAATGGAATATGCCTAGGTCTAGCTAGGTTCCAAG